GGGGGGGAAGATATCAAGAAGCCACTCTTTATTCTACACATAGCTGCTCAGTGGCAATTTCTTTCCGGGAACGTTAGGGACCATGCTCGGAAAGGCAGCATATATTTTGAATTAAGCTCAATATGTTCTCTCCTCTGCTGTTTGCAATGCATTTTTTTTTTTCTAGAACGCTTGTCAAAGAAATGCCTTCTTAATTTGATATCTTGTTGTTGTCTCTTTCCCCTTCCTCTTTTCATCTTTGGGGTTTTTTTCTTATTGTTTGTATTTTTAAATTTCCTTTCTTTCCTTCTTTAAGAAAGCTCTTTTGCTAGTTGCCCGACCGAAATTAAACAGATTTACATTTTCTCCAATCATTTCTCCGCAGAAATGGAGCTGGACTGGGGCTCGCCGTCTTTTCTTTAGTATCAAGTACAATTTGTCTTTTGCTTGTGAAGATTTGGTAAATCAGAAGGCAGATAGATAGCGCAGATGGTCGGAGGTGTCGGGTCAGATTATGGTACGCCTCAGTACAGTGCTAAGCTCATTCTGACGGAAAACCCTGATATTATTTTCACAGATCTACACAGTTCACTTGAAAAAAACCCTTCGAGCCATTTACATCATTTATGTGAGGCTCACAGCTAGCGGGATGGAAAAGCTTTCAATACTGCTCATTTTCATAAAACCCGACAGAGCTGGGGAGACATAAAAGCACACACAAAACTCACGAGTTCAGAGACACTCCACAGAAACTTAAAAAATAAAAGGGGAGACTCTTCGGCTCCACTTTACAGACCCAGGTTTGATTTGCCCATCAGATTAGGAAAAAAAAAAAAAACAACCACAAACAAACGGGAAGAAAAAAATCAGAGAAGAGGAAAATATAATGTATAAATATCGCTGAGGGAGAGTCCCCTTCCACCCCATCCCTGTCCTCTCCGCCAGGGAAAACCAGTCGTTTGAGCAGCTCAATGAAAGATCCCAAATAACCTTTTCGGACAGCGATAAAAAAAAGCCCCAAACCTCCTCGGTATGAGCAGCGGGCTTCCCCAGCGAGCGGGTGAGAAGGCGGCGACCTCCGCGGCGCCGGGCAACCTCGAGGGGCGGCCAGCAGCCCCCGAAATCATCCCGGGACAGGGGCTGATGGAAAAAAACTCTGCTGTGAGAGAGGTGGAAGGGTGGAAAGCCTGTGTGAATGGGTAGCTAATTTAGACCGGCCAGATGATGATGATGATAATGATTACTAATATTACTGTAGGTCTTTCTTTTTCCTTTTTTTTTTTTTTTTTTTTTTTTTTTTTAAATCATGCACATGATCTGGCGAGGGAGTTACTGGGCTGCAGCCTAATGACCATGAACAGAGCGAGACAGGCTCCATAATGAAAGCCAGGACTGTAGGCTAAAGAAATGTATCCTCATTAAGAGCAGCGAGAGCTGCTCGCAGGGGCGAGGGGGCTGTCCCCGAGGTCCCCAGCCTTTGTTCCCCAGAAACCGGCCCGGATGGGGAGATGCTGGCAGCCCTGCTGGGAGGGGAGAGGGGGAAAAAGAAAAGACAACACAGAAATGGACCCAGGAACCCTGTGTTAACCATTTAAAGAGTCACCCGAGGGGGAAAATCAGCGCAGCCCCAGCTCCTCTGCACCCTCTCCAGCTGTGAATCTTGGGGTC